GTGTGTGTGTGTGTGTGTGTGTGTGTGTGTGTGTGTGTGTGTGTGTGGGGGGTTGTATTTTTTTTCTTTTGTGAATGTGTCCAAAGTAACAACCGGTTATTATGACTATTGCATCTAATTATTGAATGTACAGGAACAAGTCTTAAGGTCATAATTTACTCACGTTTGAGTGTTTGCAATTGAGTTCATTACTAAGCTTTATTTTACCAAGTAAAGACGATTTATTTATTTCTAAAGCGGATCAAATGTTTCAATTTCATTTTTGTGTCATGATACAGATGTTATCTGCCGGAGTTCAAATATTGTCACTTGTTTGAGAAAGGTGAAACTGCATTGTAAGAATTGTATCACCACATTGCCAAAACATTTGATCATAGGAAAGTGTCGGTATAACATGAACATGCTAATGTTTTTGCTGTGGCGTCTTGTCACTTTACCTTGAAGATACAAATTGAACTGTGACATATATCACTGCTGATCTTTGTAACCCTCGAGTTGATTTGCATTGAAAATGAGGCAAATCATTTCACCCTGTTGTCTGATAGTCCTGTGTGTTTCAACTCTCCCACAGCACACTGGCCGTGCGCATCGCTGACGACCGCTTCCGCCATACAGAGTGCTATACCTGCACAGATTGCGGCCTCAACCTCAAGATGAGAGGTCACTTTTGCGTCGGAGATGTGATGTACTGTGAGAAGCACGCCAAAGAGAGGTACCAAGGCCCAGAAAGTCCCCCTCAAGCCACCGTGTCACCGCGCCAATAAGTGCCATCTCACACCTGCCCCGCTCTGGACGTAGAGTGCTGCTTGTCCTTCTGAAGCTCCACACCATCTGACTCAGTTATAGACCTTGGGATGGGGCGTGGAGGTGGACACTAGTCTACGAAATGGCAGAGGATGTTCTTTTCTGATCACATTTAACCATACTTTGCAATATTATGATTAATTTTCTTGCCTTTTCTTATATGAGCATTGGGGCTTTGTTTTTCAAATGACCCGTCCTCCGCGGTCTCTTTAGATTATTCTTAGCTGTAATGATGCACAGCTGCCATGGACTCGAGCCACATCACATTGTGCTACGCCAGATTTACATAACGCCAACGCTTTAGACAAACTGAACAGGACTGGCTCTCTGAGGATCTGGATGATCCTGCTGACACAAAGGGACCAAAATCTCACCTACACTGCATGCCATTTAAAAAAAAAAAAAACAAATGTACTGTACACAGACAGTGCTGTGTGGGTGTGTATGGATGCATGCTTTCACATGCAGAAGTGTGTGTGTGTGTGTGTGTGTGTGTGTGTGTGTGTGTGTGTGTGTGTGTGTGTGTGTGTGTGTGAGAGAGTGAGAGAGAAGGAGGGTCCAAGCTGTTACAGATGCAAAGGAGTTTGTGAATTTTGAGCTAGAGTCAGGCCAAAAGCCCTTGAGTTTTTCTATTTCATTTGTAAGCAGAATTTATAGTAGAAATAATGGAAAAAAATACATATTTGCTGACTTGTTTTGTTGCTTATGAGGGACTATAGATGAATTGAATATATACAACTATTTTTGATGTTTTTGTGATTGAACTGTATTCTATAATATAGACCATTTAAATGCATAATGTATGCACAGGACATTTAGTGTGAAAATAATTGATACTACACCTGTCCAGTTGCAGCAGTACTCGGAGATAAACTATGATGTTCGCATTACTTGTGGCACTTAATAAAATCGCACAACTTAAAGCTGCTTCAGTGACGATGACTGTGTTGGAATCATAAGCGTACACGTTTTCCTACATCCTTACTGGGTCTTTACTTTGTAGTGATGTCTGCCCTGTAAGTATTTTTATCGACTTATTTTTGTCCCTTTGCCATACAGGGATGGCAAATATTAGACTCACTTAACTGTCTTTTAAGTTGAATAGACATTTTTTTTTGTCATGGCTGACCTTTTGTTGCTGCTTAGCAGTAAAACACAGGTGTAACTAATTACATTAATGATCTCAGGGCGCTGGAGTGGGGTGCAGCCATTATCAAAGTTTTTAGTTACAGCTGTGCTGCTCCTGCCGGGACTTGACAAAATGTCTGCTGTGAAAATGGCCCAATTACAATGCATGACAATAAATCGTTAACCCTATGTCTTACAGTGTGTAGTAAGATGTGACCTTATTTGAGATTTAAAAAAAAATAAATAAAAAATAGGCATGCAAAATAATACTTGTAATCTTAGAAGACTAACAAACCTAAGATGAAAAAAAGTTGTACGGTTGTCACTGGTGTTTTGGCAGCGCTGGTGTAGAGGTACACCACACATTTGATGATCAACAGCTGACCGAACAAGAGGTATGTACTGAGAATTTGATAGCCTAATTGATATAATGTGAATTATCTGGATTTAATTTGTCATATCCATTTATGTATAAATACAATTATAATAAACTGCAGAGTAAGAATGAAGTTCTTAAAATTTCACTTCGGGGACTTTAATGATAAAAGCTAAAATTAGGATTCCAATCCTAAACGGACCACGTTTTCCATCTGTTGTGTCAAAAAAACAAGACTGTTGTTACATGGACTTATAACATATGCTGTCCATAGAGAAGAACTAATGCATATGAGTTTGGAAGTGCAATGATGACGTACTGTAGTTGGCTAATGACGCAGCAGTCAATCAATGACTTTTTTTTAAATTTAACAAAAAGCAGGCATGTTCAAGTTTGAGAGTTGGTTAACCGAACATTGTCACGTCAGCAGCCAGCAAGGCATCTCCATTAGAAAAACTACACGGATTTAAAAAAAAAAAAAAAATCTACCCATATCTCTATTTATTGAGCCGGAGTTGTCAATCTGCTTCCTGTTCAGATTCCCAGTTCATCGTTGCATGAGCTGATTTGTCATTCAGACTGGTTGACCTAAATACTTAGTAAGCATAGGAATGACTGCTGGTGGAAGTTTACAGCATTAATCAACGGGGTGCGGGGACACATCCCTGTTCTTAGAAGACCGGTTTGACAAGTCGCCAACATTTGACAGTTGGAGTGCAGTTAGGTAGCACATTAGCAGGGTGAGTTATAACTTGTCTTTTAGGACCTCCTAAATGATGAATGTGATGCTAACAAACGGCACTCCACCTAGAATCAAAGATCAATATAAACCATATTCATATAATTCACTCTGCTAACAAGAGAGGGCAGCATTGCTCCAGGTTTTTACAAAATATTATGTAATTTCTTTGCATATATTTAAAAACTGGACTGCAGAGTTTTTCTTTAGGCCTTACCTGCTGCGAGGGTCTCTGAGGACAGAGGGTGTCGCACCACATATGGCACCACATTATGATTTGATAACCTCATAAACTGTGGAAGAAGTGGGTTTAATGTCGCAATAAATCGTTAATTGGAACCATTCACCGCAGGACTGAGTGGTTAGACTGACGGAGCGTCTCAGAGAGGGCGGGCCTTGTGTGTGTGCTGCTGATCACACCACTAGATGTCAAGAAAGACTCGGAAACAGATGAGTGACTTGCGTTTGCTTCCATGATGGAAGTTTTTTCTTTTGTTCATCCACTGGCAGAAACACTAGCCTTAGCTGTGCCTCAATCTCAGCAGTCACTTTGGCTGGGTCACATCTCAGATTGCCCTCTTGTTTTTAGACGTCTGCTCTAACGTGTGATTTGGAGACCAACAGGAACATTCCCAAGAGCTATCATCAAACGGCAAATTCACGTATCGTCTGTCGTCATACATCCCAAAAGCTTGTGTGACTTCCACCAAAATCTCCCCAAAGATATTTTCTCAGTCCTGCTTTTTCAGCCTCTGCGTTGCACCTTTCCTTCACATTCTCCCCTTTCTCAATTCCCCACCTGGAATGCAGTCCAGATGTTGAACAGGGAGAAGGAGAGATTGCCTGCTTGGCTATAAGGAGCGAGTGGGGGCTGCGGGGTGCATAGAGAGAAAATGTTGGAACGACATTAAAGTTTGTCTGGATGCCATTAAGTACAATTTGATGTAATGTGCAGTTTCGGGACGTGACATTTTAAATGGAAACTGTGCTCTCCAGATGAGAGAGATTTGGGCCTTGTGGAGTTGGAGGGGGGTGTTGTACTTGAAGCCTTATTTAACTGCTTGGATAAACAGCCCTCTGTTTCGTTACTGAGCAGGCGCCCATCCACTCCTTGTGCTTTCTTTCGATAATCACGCTGGCTCTCTGAGCCTGCTCCGGTGTACAGTATCATATACAGGAATAACAAACCCGGGGTCCACTGTGCGGGTCAGAGCACAGTGCACCATTATACTGCCGAGCATGCTCGCATGACTGAGGTGACTGCAGTTTGGATATGTCAGTGAACACATGTCAAGCCCAATTGCATAAAGTCCATTTTCAAAAGCTTTCCTGGTTCACCTTCTCATATTATGAAATACTCTCCAGATTTGAAACGCTACAGCCTCCGTCCTCCCGGGCCTATCGTATATCAAGAAGTATTTTTAAAACAGAAGTCCATGGAGTCGGGTACTATACTTTGGGAACTTTCCACACACACAGGCAAAAATGTGAAAAGGAGATCTTGAGGAAGTTTATATGATCTTCTATATTTGTTGGACTGAGCGTGATTCTTGCAGGGGGGGAAATGTCACATTTAAAAAAAGATATTCTTTCAACAGAATATTTGATTTATTGGGCATAACAGTATCAACATGCAGTAGATCTTCAATTATACCTACGTTAAACAGCACATGGTAAGCAAATAACACTCTGTTGACTTTGAATTGGGGCTTCAGATCTTATTACGGTTCAGCAGCTTAGTTTGGCTTGTTAGAACTGCAAGAACTAATTTGCATTCAGAGGTAAGGCCACTTTTATTGCTCTCTTTCTGTGGCCATCACCACAGAAAGACTTGTATTAAAGTATCTATTGCGATGTTTTATAGATGGCTTTCTGTTAGCAATTACCTTCAAGGGGACATGAAAACAACTGCTTCTGTGCTAGAAAAATATGACACTATAACTCATTCAGATAAAAAAAAAAAATCACAAAGTTACCATCTACGATATGGTCAGTAATGACACCTCAGTCTCATTTTATTCTCAAGTTCAAACTGTTCTCTGCTGCCGTAACTCTTTCTGCAGCAACAATATAGAAACTTGTGAAGTGTATCTATAAAAGTCTTTACTTCCTCTCCTTCCCGCTGATTGAATGAAAAGCTTTTGATCTGTTGAAACACACGATACACAAGAGACCCTCAGCCTTCATTCATGACTTTAGTTTGCTCTCCCAATGAAGGCGCACATTGAAATCAAGACCTTCCTGTCTTCTACAACCTGGATGGAAAAGGCCAATTCAAATCAATCAGCAACAAAACAGCAATATGGCATTGAAACAATTTAAATCTTATAGATTCTCATATTATTTCTTCAAACAAATATCCATGGTCTTCTTCTTTGCTCCAAAACGTTTTCTCTTTAAAGGGTTTGCATGTTGTTGCATTTACAGAATTTGCCAGTCTTTCTCTTAAAATAACTATATAGGGATACATCATGATGATGAGGTAATACGTCTTTATTCTCTTACAAATGTGGAGATGCAACATTTTAAATACATATATTTTTGTACTGCAAAAATCTGCAACAAAAGTATTTTTTTGTTTCGTTTTTGTGCAGTTTACCATATAATTTAGGCCAAAAAACAATACATAAAATAGCCTACTGGACTGTCATGAAGTTTGATGAAGACGTGTGGAGTGACATCAGGTGGGTTTACCCTAGCACACGTGAAACCTCCCTCTCTGTCTCTTATTGGACTGTATGCGCTAGGACCGCGGGGACCAGAGCGCAGACGGAATGGGCGCACTTGGGGTAGTAACTAAGTGAGTTTGAGTGTGACAGAGGCAAGCAGGCAAACCCGCTAGGTTTTGGGAATTACACAGAAGCCGATCGAGACCAGCTCACTTTTTATCCGAACGAACAGTTTTTTCCCCGGTTTGAATTTATTTTAAATTGCGCTTGAGAGAAGTCTACACGGGGAACTCAGGGATACACTGAGGAAAACTTTCAAAAGCAGCGACACAACTGACAAAAGTTTGAGGATATACTTTTTTTTTTTTTTCTTTACTTCTTCATATGTGGAAGTGACTGCACAGTTGTGAATCCCATCAACCTCTGGATTAATTAAAGAGTGGGAGATAGCGGTAATCTGGGCACTTCCAAAGTGATGTAAATCCCTCAAGGTAATTAATGCAACTACCAACTTTTAGCGTCAGAATTCTGCGCTTGTTTATGGGACTT